CCGACAACTATAATCCAGACAGTATCAAAATCCTTTACGAAGTAAATTATTATTATTACAGGATGGGAGTTCCTATTGGGAATAGGAACGTCGGGATTTTGATTGTCGGGATTTAGATTGCCACCGATAGTATACAATATACATACATAGTGTGCTATATGGAATAACTGTTTATGTAATAAATGCGCTGTTGTTTTAATGAGTTGTTATAATTGCAAGCATACAATTGCTCCCAACTGTGTAAATAAGCTATAGATAATGTGTTAAATAAATAACGTGAGCTAATATAGTATATACGTTGTTTGGATTCGCGCTGAGCCTGCGTTAGGTGGATGGTGCTCGCATTTCCTCCAACTAAAACCCATCCACCCACCAAACCACTTAATAACTTTTGACCCTTTACAGCGTCGTGTCCCTTTTCCAATCCCTACAAGCATCTCTCCCAGTTCCAGAGGCGTTGAAATCCGACGATCGAAGAGTCTTATTAGTACGAGCAAGTGGTGAAGCAAAAAAAAGGGCGAAAAATTGGAGGGAAAGACAGAAACAGCTACCCTTGCAGTAGTATGCATTTTCACCTCGACCTAGTTACCCGGTGCTTCTGCTTATTCTCCTCTCCTTTTTTTATTCCTATTCTGCAAAACTTATGTGTTCACTTTTTATTCTCTTCGTTTTCTTTTTTCATTTCCCTCTATTCCATATAAGTCACTTGTGATAATGACACAATGTAGTTTAATTTTACTTTTTCTTCTTGTTTGGAATACGAACAATGTCGCTACTTTTAGTTTGTTTTTTTATATATGTATATGCTAGGGCTCCGCTCTATTTTATTTTGGAGTACATCAGTAAATTTTGTCGGAACTGGGTAAGTGGCGCCGACTGCTATTACTTCTTACTAAATATAAGTATTATGCAATTTTACGAAGCTCTTAGCTTCACTTATTTTTTAATTGAAATACTATTTCAACTACCGCTTTGCATAGTGCGCTATTCCAATATAATAAATATTCTGCTATGAAATTCCAGACCCTTCGAGTTATTGTTATAATATGCTTTCATAATATACGAAACGTAACAATCTTTACATTTTCTGCATTCATTCATCATTTTTCATAACAAAATTAAATTTATCCAAACATTCCTTTACATCTAAAAACTGAAAAATATTGTATAAGAAAACAATTAAAAAATTCTAATCAGCATCTTAACCGAGGTATTTTGTATATTGCGTTTATAAACAAAATAATCTTATATCCTTTCTGTATATTTAAATGAAAAAAACTGTTAATTTGAATATAAAATAATTTATTATTTTATTTTGCTCAATACCGTACTATAGTGAATCTACACTGATTGAAACCGCACTATGCGAGGTATTGTTGTATGTTATACAGATCAATTTTAACATGAAATTATAAAAAAAATGAAATCATGTAAACGTCAGTATATAAAAATAGCAAAAATGCTATTAAACTATTTGTGTCTACTGTGTAAATAAAAATGATGTTATTTCTCAACATCAAAGACATGCACTGTTTTATTGATGTCACTTGTGTGAAATTTTGCAAAGCTTAAATATTCATTTACAACATCTGGTTTACTGATTTATCGCACTGTAAGTTCTCAATAAGCTAATCAGTTGCTCAATAAGTCAATAAAAGTTTTTGTTTGTATACTTTCAATTCCATCCCGCAAAATGCTTCGGTTTTGATTATAAAATGGAATATTTGAGCTTCGAAAGTATCGAATTCGTATTGCGCATTATATTTCATAAGTAAATAAGATTTTTCAATAAACTCGGTATTACATCTATATTTTCATATTAATGTATTTCTCTTATACATTTATCAACGAAAATTGAAATGAGAGAAATAAATTAGAAAATGTAATTTTTATTTTGTTATTATATGTAGATGAAATCTGTAAGAAAATTTTTTTTTTCTCAATGAAAATTGTCACAGTCAAAATAAAATTAAAGATTTTCAGACATAATAATAAAGCAAAAAAAGGACAAAGTGATACAAAGGGTTATTGATTAATAATAAGAAGACAATTTCCCAATTTCTTTTTGTTTCCCTTTTTTACTAAAATAACTGAGAATCAATAGTCTGTTTTATTATTTACGACAGGTATCTTTTGCAAGATTTGTACGTTCAATATGATTGATCTTCATCAGAAATGTATGATGTAGGTATAAATATTTAATCTTTATATTATGACGTAATAAATTAAATTATTTTCCGATTTCCAAGTGGATCTTTTATTATTTTATAACATTTTCATGTAATGAAATAATAATAATAATAATTTCGATTATCCTTTTTTGGGAGAATAAGTATTTTTTTTACATAATTATATTATTAAATAAAACATAAAATGTTCAATAAACATGTTCATTTATAATAATTAAAAGTGTAAACATTTAAAACAATGTTATATTGAACATTATAAAATGATCTCATGTTCCGTTTGATATAGTACAAAGTCTGCAGAGTATTGCATGTAACAGTAGCGTTTTTTAATCACTAAACTTTGTCGTAAAACCACCATGTACGTATGCTCTTTCATTGCATAACGCTGCATAAACGGTGTAATTACAGCGAAAGGTACATTTACGATGGAGACTAACAATTGTTCTAAATCCTTTATTCTCGTTTCGATTTATTTGCCGAAGCGCGAAGCGAACTCCCACAGAGCGAAAGTAATACTGAACAAACGGAGACCCGTTTAAATTCCAAATATTTTGTATTTACCTACCGGAATTAGCTCTTGCATTATTCAACTTGACCTTTGGGCTGTGAATCAATAAGGACGTGTGGTGTATTCGCTTTTCTACACCCCAACCCCCTAATAAACCCCATTTCTCTTACAAACTTTTCGTTTACCTATCGATTTTATTTATTTCAATTCATAATTAATTCTAACCTCGAGCGAAAATTAATTAAGTTTTTTTTTTCTTTTCTTCATATTGAAATCAATCCATTGATTATTAGGTGGGTGCGCCGGGATCACATATAAAATTTCTAAAAAAATACAATCTATCCTATCCCTCGTTTTACACGATACTTACTTTACACGTTTTCGCTTTTACACGGTTTAAAAATAAATGTTGAAAATAAACTATCCCCTGTTTTACACGGTACTTTATTTATACGTTTCCGTTTTTATACGGTTTGAAAAAAAATAAATGTTTAAAATATCCTATTCCTCGTTTTACGCGTTTTCGCTTTTACACGGTTTAAAAAAAAATAAATTAAAAAATAAATGTTGAAAATAATCTATCCTACGCGTTTTTTTGCATACTTTTCGATTTACACGTTCTTCTCAGGAACCGTGCAAATACGTAGACAGGTGTTTAACGAATACCGATATTTTTTTTGTAACCGGTTTTTATTACTTTCTTATATAATTTCACACTGTAGAGTTAGTTTATTTTATTATTACTCATGTTATGTTTATACACGATTTTTTGTTACTTTGCTCTCGTATTTAAATATTTTATTAAACATGTAATGTATACAAACAATACAAAGAATGCCGGAATTTTTGTCAATTTTTCGTTATTCGTTTATTATACAGTGAATGTATCCATTGCAAATAAATGTACAAAACAAAATGCATGTACTCATAAACCTTTAATGTACACGTTTGTTATTTATATTTTTAACGCACAAAGTGATTTTTTTTTTCGTTTCTACCTTTTATTAAAAATTGAAAAATGTTGCATAGTAATTTCATTTGATTCCAACGCACTCTTTAAAAGCGGACTAATCGAGGACTTTCAAACATAATAATAATAAATTGAACTTTAATTTTACTGATTTTTTTATGGAATTTTTCAACTATAGTGAATCCGCACTGATCGAAACCGCACTATGCGAGGTATTGATGTATTGATTTCTACCTGGTAGTAATATTTGAGCTAAGTTTTCATTCGAGATTCTGTTATTCGGTGCGCTTCTATTGATCCAAACATACCTATTCATTCAATTTACTACGCTACGTTAACCAAATATAAGAAATTTCGTGCTTTCATTTATGTAATATAGGAAATGTACTTTATAAGTTCGTTATAGAACTTATTTTATTCAATATTGGGGCAATTTAATTAAAAAAATTATAAATTTATTTTTTCATTCTCATTTTTTTTAATGTTATGCATTTCATAGAAAATAATTAATATTACATAAAAAACAGTTGTAAACTGTCGCGCACAAAACAATATAGAACAATGATTCACATTGTCGAACAATTGAAATTTTATTCAAACTGAACATTTTTCATCGTAAATCATCCGAAAATGAAAATTTGAATACATATTGGAATTGTTCAATTCTCATATGTAAATTTGAATGGCAATTGTGAATTTTCCATTCACCATTTCGAATGTTAATGCCAATTGCGATATTTCAATAGAGATTTTTTTTTCATTATTCGATGCGCTAATTGTAGAGTCCGTGTCTTTTGTGATAATCAACCTCTTTATTCTTTTATTTTTCTTTATATTTCTAATTAAGAGTAAAATTGTTCCAGAAGTTGCGGTAACTAAGTTAAAACATTCCTTTACAAAATATCTTTCGCTGAAATGAAGACCGGTAATTTATGGCATTCGCAAGTTTATTATGAACTTAAGTTTATTTTGAAACGTTAAAATTAGGATACAGCAATACCTTATATAGTACAGCTTTACAATAAATTAGCACTAAATTTTAATTGACAAAATAAAAAATAAATTCAACCCTTAAAATTTATAATATTTTTTTAAATTTCCCTCTATGAACAAATTTTCTGAGATATAAGCACATTATTATGGAACAATATGAATAATTGAAATGACGATAAATTTTTCAGATTATTTTTTTTCTATAGAAAAAATTGTTGAGTAAAGTTTATGGAATCAGCATTAATATTCTTGTTCAGTTTGTTTCTTCGCGAGGAAAGTTCGTTGAAGATGCGGATAGCATTCTTAATTTTGGGAAATTCAATGGGATCGATAGTATTTTCTGCGAGATGGGTGTTTCTTAAAACATACAATTTTGCATCTGTATCTCCTCTCATTTCTTGTTTCCTGGTGGTGTAGCTGGACGTCTATTAGGTATAGATGAGATTTTTGGATAGGACATGATGATTTGGAGGAGGGAAAATATGCAGAAGGTGGAAATTGGAGGAAATCGAAACATTTTCGGTTTGGGATTGGTAGTCAGGTGCGAAATGGGCATTTCCAAAGTGGTTGCGGAGCGTAGCACGGGGGGTATGGCCACGAAATAGCGTGGACCAACTGTGAAAAGGATGCTGCGCGTGCGGCCGCGCCGTCGATATGCTTATCCTAGGGGTGCAACGAGCAGGAGCAGGGATGCTGTCGCTTGTTCGTTCTGTCGTCGTCGTGATCAGTTGCTTCTGAAGCCCTCGTCGGGGTCTGTTGGTCGTGTATTCTCTTGTGCTGCAATCGGCACCTGGTCGTCGGCGCCTAAGGTGGATGCCGGTCCCTTGTCATGTCAGCCGGCGAAGATGACCGTAAGGCACCAGCCTCCCCAGTCCAAAAACCAATTGCCGATGGCCACTGTTCTCCCGCCAAAGACGCAGGTAAACACATCACTTTTACTTTCTCACGTATTTCCAACAACTTTCGGAACTTTCTTAAACTTATCTTAAACTTCGATGAAACTCGAAGAAACTTCATGTGCTATCACTAAAGAACGCTGATAGCGACAAAAAGTTGAAATAAAAACAAAATCGGAAGAGACAACGAAATCGAGAGTTCACGTGTATTTTCACGGAGTGACGCGCGACATTTCCCTTTTCAAGTTCAATGTCACGCGAATGCATGTACCTGCGCGGTTTCAATAATTTGAATTTCAATGTTGACAATGATCAGTTCGCGCCGAGTTGTAGAAAAGTTACGGAATAGTTTGGATGAATTCGACGCGTTGTGACGCATCCGACGTGCGCATCATCCTGACATGTCGCGCTCGTTCTTGTCCATCTATCAGACGAGGATGACGTCCGGTTAATGGTGAAGGGATGGGCGCGGGCCCGGGGGTGCCGCAGAGCGCGTGTCTGTTAGGTCAGTGGGTTATGCGAGAGTTAGGCGCTGCCACCCGAATCCTGGGATCTAGGATGTGGGCGCTGGGATGTGGCGGGAAGCTCATGCTGCTGTAGCTTGACGCTGTATATCGATCTCTTCGCAATCCCGCCACCGCCCCTGTACAGCGGCTCCAGCTAACCTACATTCGCCACACACACCCCTACCAACACAATCCCCGGACCACCCATCAACCACCCTGGCACATCCTGATCCAGAGGCTTTTTCTTCTTCTGTCCTTTGTTTTTTTTTACTATGTTTCACTTCGCTTACATATCGATCTCCCATCCATTATCACATCTCACCTGGCGCCTCTCATTCTACGTTCCTAGATCTACGTTACACTGCGGCTGTGCGGACTTCTCCTGCCGCATCGATAGCATCACAACAAGTCGCGACGCGCAATCCTATCCTACACGCCTACTACTACTACTCTTACTACTCCGTCAACACGGCAGCATCCGTCTATAATTACACTAACTACTGTTACCGGTCCTATACCTTTTCACAGCTACAACTTTCTTAGTCACGGTCTCGTCCATCCTTCATTCTTCCTCTTCTTAATTTTTCCTTATAAATATATGTTTCTTGTCTCTCTCCCATTGATCACCTAATTAAGCACACCCCAAATTTAGGGCGTGCCGCACCCTCTTTTGTCCACCTCACTATTCTAACGTATTTCGAATCAATGTTTAAACGCTTTCACTTTCTTCCAACAACGTTCGCTTTCGAATACGCCCTCCACTTACTTTCAGTTACAATTTTCAGCGCGCGTATCACAGCATACATAGAAACTATTCCTCGATTAACAATTAATATATCTCATTTTTTGTTACATATAAAATTTCATATTATTTGAAATAAAGAATTACATGTTTTTTTGATAATTATAAACAACTACAATTTATTTCTTACATAAAAAAACTTTACTTTAATATTTACAAAATAATCAATAAAATTTGTTTAAACGCCAAATTTTCAATATGAATTATTACACAATTTTATTCAATTAAAAATTAATTTGATTACAATATTTAATTAAAGTACTGCAATGAAAGTAATCAAGCGAATTAATACAAATTGTAATCCGCATACAATTAAAATTATATACATAGTAATGTTATCCAGTTACCAAAACATTTTATTTTACTGTTTTTTTTTTAAATTTTTAACAGATTTATTTGTAATTTCTACGAAATAATAATAAAAGTCCATAAATTATTTCAGAAATATTTTTTTGAAAAATATTTATTTTCAAATATTAAATTTATTATCATTTTTTTATTACAAATTTTTGTAACATAATTCAGATTGAATCCATAAAATATAATTTGAAAATAACAAGTGATTTAATGATTTTGTGAGGTTTTGTGTTCCGTTCTGATAAACACAATAACAACGATCAATCAATGTGAACGTTGGTAAATAGTTTCAATGATATTATTTATGAAAATGACGGAGACAAACGGATGGCAGGAACAAAACAATTTCACTGTTGGATTATTTATTATGAATTGCATTTGACGTTTTAATTCGAGCTCGTTTCATTAAATTGTTTGCGGCATGGATTACGTTCCTCTTTTTGTCTCTGTTTTCATATATATTCCTGCTGTTTGTGTCCATTTCATTTTCAATTCATATATAATCCGCTTTTCATATTATAAAATAGATTAATTAAAATATACGTTTAAATTTAACAATGTTTGTAAGAAAAAATATTTTTTAAATTTAATGAATTATTGAAATACCTCGCACAGTACGGTTTTAAAGAATATGAATATGAACAAGGTGTTAACTGCTTAGAAAACATGTTAAATTTGATTAGTACAGAAATACTTCGCATAGTGCGGGTAATCTGTTCCGTCAACTATTTGAAACCGCACTAATCGAGACTAATACATTAAAAAATAAATCGCACAAAAATCATTTTGTATTTCATTTGTTTTCAAATTTTCAATCCGCACTAATTAAAGTCGGACAATGCAGTTCTATATATTTTTTTAATTAAATCCATGGATTCGTTTACATATTTCCATTCTTTTATTCCCATTTCCCATTGTTCAGGCTTTGTCTTATAAAAATAACTGAAATGATTTCATTTTATTTTTTTTATTATATTTCAAATTGAACGATTCCTGAAAACTTTTCGCTTCGCCTGCAATGCACGAACAGATGCGTCACGTAACTGCTGTGCCCCTCGCTTTTCTCGAATTCATCCGGTCGTCTATGCAAATTACGCAATCACAAAATTGTTTCGGTCGAAAAGCGCGATGCAAATTTGCAAAATTTGAATTGAACTGAATCCGCCGTTCGATATTCAATTAAAGTCGACATATGCCGCACGTGTTACGTAATAAACACTCGTTCTTCCCCAACGAAGGGGGATCAATGCTGAAAAGACGACATTACTCTAATTGAACCACTGGCAATCACAGAACTGTTGTCAATCTTGCTTACCTTTTTAATTTGCTTCTGCTGATTGCCTCTTTTTTTCACACGGATTGTTTTCCAAGCTCAATCGGAAATCGTAGTTGTAACTAATTTCCTTCACACCTATTACAAATCGGACTCTTCGAGCCAATAGCAATACTCCGCATAGTGCGGCTTCGATTAATCCCAATTTACAACAGTCTGGTTGAAGAATTTCATTAAATTTTAATTAAGCAAATTAAAAATAAATTTGGTTTATTTTTATCCTCGATTAGTTGTATTTTATCAATATTATGCATTTGAACATTAAACACTTCATAATATAATTGAAACCAAATTTAAGCTTGGAACTTCAGAAACCACCTTTAACTAAATTTTCTCTCTATATATTAAGGGTAGTTAAATTTCACCTATGCAGTATAATTTAAGACCATAATCCGACTATATAATTTATTTTGTTTCCTGGTTTAAAGCTATCCATAATTTAAAGGGTCGAAACTAATTAGCAAGTTTACTTTAAAAGTGTGAAGAGTTTGACCTACTATAATGTTACGAACTTTACATTATTTTTGGCATCCAAAGTTCGGTCGAATCCTATGCGTGCGATGTATTTCATTTCAGACAGCTTCAATAATCCAAGAACTAATCTTCGTAACAGTTAAACTGCGTCAAAGTTTTGAATCTGTATCTTCCGGTATTTTGCAGCAGATTCATCTTCAAAGAAAATTAAAGCCTATTTAAAGTTGGAGACCTGCAGGCATTAATTAAATTTGTCGAACAATGAGAGCGTTTTAATTAAATCTTTAATATTGCAACTTCCATCCACGACAAAATCTTATGAAAATCTCATTTCTGCTTTTAACCTCCTTCTAGGAGAAAAACCAATACCTGCAAGAGAAATACCAATTAGTTTTGCTCTAGTTTACTGAAAAAAAAAAATGTTGACTGAAATTCAATATATGCAAAATTTTGTTGGTCTGATGCTTGAAGGCACTGGTCAGCATGCATATCTATTTAAAGATTGACAAAAGCGGTAATTAGAATTGTAAATCAATTTAGT